AATGTTTTCTTTTTGAACATTTTTCAGGACAAAAAAGGCACATTTTTTGTTTGGAAAAGTGTTCAAAAAGGACACCCGCATTTTCAGCATCACCGTTATAATGCTAAACCGCTATAGTGTCCATGGTGCCAAACCAAGTGGTGCTCAGTGCAAGCCATCAATCTGTTTGCTGCGCACATGTTTGCATGTAAATCCAGCCGGTGGTTGGGGCCTTTTAAGGACGTCGTTTTTTTCAGAAATCTGACTGGATGTCATCTATTTGTTCCAGCATCTAGCCGTAAGTGAGCCTTAAGTGGTTGATGGCATCGGCGTTTCCCACGTAACCCGTAAACCCGCGTAAGCCCGCGTAAACCCATAAAGCCGCATCAGCCCGTAAACCCGCATCATCAAATTCAGACACATTTCCCGCTGCACTGAAAGAAACACAAGAGATACGACTCAACGGCGATAGCGCGCCGCTACGAGCATTGGGAACCGATACTCCGGGCAGAACGAGGGACTTCCGGTCTCGCTGAAGACACGTCTCATGGAAATCACACGTGACCTCACGGTGGGGTTGTCGATCTTTTGGCAAATCCAGACAGACCCAAAGCAGTAAACAAGCTACGCCTTGACAAAAATAGAAATTAGCCCATGATTAACCATTACGTGATAGACTATGAAAGAATATACTTTTGCAAAGCTGTTCTCTAGTTTTGCTAGAACGTGTTCGACAATAAACAAGGGTTTTGAGAGAGCTGGGCCAGATAGATCCATACATGGAGGTTGGGATCGTTGGCACAGGTCGGATATCCATAAAGATGGCACAAATATGACGTGAAGGTCTTCACCCATCGCTTCCACCTTTGCCCGTCTTCAGTCCTTCGGTCCGGTCAGGTTTTTGATTTCAATCCTCGGCCAACGGGGATTTGTTGAAAGGGTAGTTCTTGATGGAAATTCAATCCTCGAATGGTTCATCCTTCCTTGGCCCAAATTTCCACGATCGCTGGCGCCAGGCGGGCATTGCTTTAGTCTACCTGGTGAATGTGGTGCCATCGCTCACCATGAAGCTCACTGGTCCTTACTGGTTCCACTATGTGAGCTACAGGCATCACTGGTCCGACTGGTCCCCGGTTGCGGCGATCGGTGGTCGACTTGAAGACTGGCTTCAGGTCTTTGAAGCGTTCACAAGAAGCTACTAGTAGCTCCTGGCATTACTACTAGGAGCAAGGACGCTACTAGTAGCAAAGGGCATCGCTACTGGGAGCAAGAATGAATGGTGAAGCGAAAACAGCACACCTTCGAACCACCCTGCCTCGGGGCTCATGGAGCTTCGGACGAACCTGTTCTTGGGCCTCCTGGGATCAGTTTATAGAGTTTAGGTTTGTTGAATCTAAGATTGGGTATGTGTCCTGGGCGAAAACATTGGCGTCCACAAGTGAACATCCATCACAAGGCCATGGTTGCTTCCAAGCGGCCCAGTAGAACACTTCCTGTAGCCCAGGATCCAAAGTGATGATTCGAAGAGCTGAGCAGATTTAAGAGCACCAAAAGGTCAATGAATGGACATGTTGGAATGGAATCTTCAAACTCTGTCCACCCATTGGTCCCATCCCATCTTTCTGATTGTGGTCATGGTCCCGGGGAACGGCATGGCTGCACAACGGCAACGGGAGATTAGATGCGGCCGTACCTCCCGTCCCTGTGGTGCAGAAGACGAAGCAGATGATTCAAAGCGTCCAGTTTGGAATCCATATGCAAACTACCTTATTCCCGCGTGCGAAGGGAGCTTCAGGTAATTTTGCAGGGCACTTTCTGAACCTTTGAAACATTGGTTCCATGCAGGATCAATTTCAGGAGAAGTCCTGCAACGGCGCCGCTCTCTTGCGAAGATGAAGCAGCCATCCAGATCGCCAGCCGCAAAAAGCGCGAGCCAGGTGTCGGATCAATCTCATGGCCTTCTTCATGGTCCTGTGTCTTTGCATCGTCGCTTGGGGCAACAGCGGCCACGTGAAACTCCTCGGCGCGCCTCGGAAGCCATCGGTGGGTGGAGGAGGAAGGGACATCGAGTGGAAGTTCACCAGTTTGACCACAGATTGTTCTGGGTCACTAGCTGCACCAGTTCCAGTTGTACCAAAGTTTCACCAACCTCCGGGTCACCCGGAACTCTGAAAACCCCAAATGGACACATCTAGGGCCATCTAGGGTCGCTGATTTCAGGATGTCGTTGAATTGATCTGTTTTGTTTCAATTCTGAGGGGTGAACATAGACGAACATGGACCAGGTCGAGCAGTTCGAGGATAAGAAAGAGGTTTTAAGCATTTGATCTTGGAAGTCGTGTGAAGATCAATAAACTGAATCTACTTGTACCCGTGACCACAACCAGGAGTCGACGAATCTGGTCATAGTGTTTGGTCATTTGTTAGACTTAGCAAGCCGTTTTGCTTGCTCTTCCGCCCTTCATTGGTCCCCCGGCCGGTGGCGGCTCCTCCTTTGCGAGGTGGGTTTTTGCTCCTTAGCTGCTGGCATGGGAGAAGCAAGTATCCTTGCGATGACCAGCTTCTACGACGCACAGGCCGAATCAGAACCCGAGAAGTTATGGCATGGCTTGGTGAAAAGGAGTTCCGAAGCTGTTTGCCATTTCAAGAACTGAACTCCACTTGGAACTTGGAACTATAACTATAATAGAAACAGTTATTTCTTCTCGCTGTTGTGGAGCCTCAAGGAAAAAAGGAAAACAAAGGTTGGTAGGGGCAGTATAGGGGGGGAAGTCTTCCATTCTCTTCCATGCTTTTGGAACTTCATTCCATCCACCTGCTCCGAGTCCTGCCTGGCGGCCTGGAGCTCGGGCACCGGCTTCGCTGGCATCGCAGGAAGGTTGCGGAGTGTTCGGGAGTGTTGGGGTTCGAACTCGAAGAGTGGAAGCAAATTTGCGGAGTTGAGCAGACCAACCCCAGAGAGTCAGGTAGGGGAATTAGGGAGTCTCATACAGTCAGTGTTTTTTGTTGGTGGCGGTCTTGATGTTGTTGTTTGTCCTGTCGTTTGGGGGATCAAGTATGTTGGTAGGCCACAAAGTAGAGCAATGGATTCATAAAAATGGTGAGAGCAGTCTATGCCCGGATTTGTCTGAGATCATTTCACGTTTCTCGATTTCCCGGACCTCCAAGCAGACCGTGAAAAGTCCTTGGCACCATAAAGCAGAAGCAGCAGCAGTCCTGGATCTTCTGGCGATTGGAAAGAATCAGTGGCTCCATTTTCTTGAGACCCTATGAACATGTCTCCAGAAAGGAGGAATTTTCCCAAAAGAGTTGGATCCTACAACGGCCGAATCCGTCCACTGTCCGGGCGGTTTTCTGGCAGAGCGAACAAGGCAGCTATGACTAGCACCTGACAGATGTAGTGGTGCCACAATCTGTTTGGTTGCTTTTTTGACACTCCAACTGCTTTTTGTTAGACTTAGAGGCTCTTGGGAGACCTCAGAGAGCAGTCTTAGCTACTTTTCATCATCACCACCAAGCAGAATAGAAAGCAGTGAGAGTTGATCTATCAAAGATATATACGTTTCCTTCTACAACAGGGTGACCAGGAGGGCCATCATGTAGGTGACTCTCATAAGGACTTTGCTGAGAACATCTGGGGTGCAACCTTCCACCGCCAGAAACTTGCCACCCTTGTAGATCAGTTGGAGTATTTGTTTGCCCGTTGTGAGTTCGAAACTCTTGTGTATTTCGGATCACGTTTGAAGCTAAACGCTATTCACTTGCCGGCTTGCCCCTATTTTCACCCAACCGGCTTTTCCTCAACGAGGATATATCTGGTCATTAGCATTTGACGCCATCGATACCTGCTTCCAGGCGGGATCACTGAGAACAACATAGGGAGTATCTAGGATAGAGTGTCTAACCCCACTGGATAGCATGGCATGGCGCCAGTTGTTTTGGTGCACTGTGTCACGCAATGTTTTGTGTATGTCAACGGGTCCACCAAAAATGCGAGACATGACCTTGGACCATCTTAAACTCTGAGTTTTCTACCACGATGCTTGAAGGATTCTTTGCAACGTTTACAACGTGCTTTTGCCGTCAGTGACTAAACCAACAACGCTTTTCACACAAATTGACACTTTTATCATTATATGTTTCCAGTTGTGTTGGACATTTGATTTTCCGTCCTTCCACATGACAATGATGATTGAAACAGCCTGTGACTAGTATGTGACAGTATGTGTGCTGCCTCAGCTCCTGTGCTCTTTGGTTGTTGCAGCAGGTTCAGCTCATGGTTGCTTTATGGATTCCAGTTGCATGGCTCCTGACCTTCTATGGTGCCTTGATTGAACTCACATTGAGATGCGAAGAGGTAAAGTGTATTCTTTTTTCCTCAGGATGTGGTCACTTGGAACTTCGTCATACGACACAGTCATCCCACAGTCATACGTTTTCCTGAGTGCATGCTGCATGCGGAGCCTCCGGTTTGCTGATGTTTGCTTACTTACTTGGAGGGCAGATCATTGGAACCCTTTCAGGTTTGGTGACCTGCCAAGCCGAGACATTTGTTGACAACTGTCAGATCTGTCGGAAGGAACTCACTTTCTATAGTTTGAACCACTTACTTCCAGAACTTGCTTTCTGGAGTCGCAACCGACCAAGTGGCACCGTTGGACCGCACACCCGACCTCGAGGCTTGTTGGGTGTCCCCTGGATCGACAAGGAGGGGAGAGAACGGATCCGTCGAAACGGGTGTGAATCTTCGGTCTCACCGTGTTTTCCAAGGACAAAGAGCTGAAAAAACGTTGTAACACTTCTTACCATTTTTGTGGCACTTCTTCAATATATGAAAGTCTGCACTGTTCTATATGACCCGCACAGGTGGCGATTCGCATTGGGGTGCTCCCCCCTGTTTAGGAACCTGCCCTGCCAAAGGCTTACGACTTATGCTTCCAGTAGACTCGGTGGGACCTAATTAAGAAAGAAAACGGCCCGGCCCAGCGCTTTCGTGTCATGCGACCTTTCTCCGCGGGGAGGAACGGGTGACTCTGGATCACGTGACAGAAGAGGAGATCGAGGAGCGCTGCGCATCTTCTGCAAAGATTCGAAGGGTCTTTCTCTCCGAAGGGTAATGTAGACTCTTGAGGACCATACACCCCCCCCCTTTTGAATTGAACATCCTCTTCAAAGGGCGGGTTTGTTAATCAAGAGTCTACATTATATTGGGTGGGTGTTTTTGGAACATGGGGGGACACTTCTATCGGCTCCGCCCCAGTACTTGGATGAATTGGTCTATGAAACACATCCTGACACCTGGTTTGGGACAGTCTCTCTATTTGTTGATCACTATCGTCTTGCACGGGATTCCACATGCAGTAGATGTACATGAACCATGAGACTGGCTAGTTGTTTTTTTGTTTTCTATCAGTTATATATAAATCTCAACAGAGACCTCAGAGGGCTTTTGAGAGACAAATCACATGTCTCTCCAGGGCCGTGACGTCCAGGGCCGATCGACTCATCGAACGAGTTGCTGTAACTCGACAGCCGGACTCGCTCCGGAGGGAGTCGCTGAACCGCTCTGGAAGCGATGAAGTCGAGGTTGTGCATTGCATGTGGAAGATCCTGAACATCTTCTGGGTGTGCACTTCTTGTTCGCCCAATTTCAAGAACACCCACCGAAATGGAGGAACCCTCCATGTCTACGTTTGCATCCTTTGAGACTCAGTGGTGACCTACAAGCACTACCACTGCTGCATTGCCAAAAAAAGACTCAGGGCTCCAGATCAGTCCAACTGCCTGAGTGTGACATGATCCGTCGATCCAACCACCAAAACACCCACGTTCAGTCGATCCAACCACCAATAAAACCACACACATCCTAAACCAAACAATCCGCCACGCGATGCGCCCACGAGACTTAGAGAAACACATGGGCCTTCACCCCCTGCCTTCGTCAAAGCCGACTCACTGGACCTTCGCCCCTGGTGGCAACGGTCGTGCGCCCTCGACGGCCAGGATCTCTCCCACGAGACCTCGGAGAGTTCCAACGACTCGGACGCTTGGAGAAGATGTGGCCGGGCAGACGGGGGGAAGAAGACGCAACGTCATAATGGTCAGTGATGGTCAGTGATGGTCAGTGATTTAAGGGCCTGAAAGCAAACACATGTGTACGAAGAAAGCACATTGATATACCTTGATCTATATAAATAAATGATCGACTATATAGAATTGTATAAATTATACTAGAAAGAGCAAAGACAAAGACCATCACCATTGTGTGATGGTTGATTTTCACAGATCAGATCAGCGGATCCACGGTCGCCGCTTGCCGACTGAGCCAACCACGGTGGCCTCCAATGGTGGACAAGAAACGTCCATAGCATCACCTCCATGTCGCCAAGCGAAGGACGCCAAACCTTTTACTGAATGGCACACTAGTTCTAGAATGTGGCACTCATGATGAGGAAAAAAATGGAAACATACATCCTGCCAAGGAAGGAATCGGGGGATCGGTGGAATGGCAAGTCTCCAAAGCGACTTCACCAAGAGAAAGACCTTCGTAAGATACAAAACAAGAGGAGGTCGATCCAGCTAGCATGCATCGATCCAGCTAGGACCAGGGCTCAAGCCCGATCCGTGAGCACGAGCGGCGGCCATTCCGTTCCGTGCGGCCATCAGGACACCACCTGCCATAGCGCCTCAGAAGTGGCCACTTCAAAGCTCACCGTGAAGGTGTGTGGACGGGCTTTGATGAAGAAAGACCCAGGGAGCCATGGGAAGCCTGGAAGATAGGTCAAGGACACCACGCATGTCCTTGTGGTGTTGTAGTGGTTCAAGGATGTTCCATGTGCAGGTGAAGGGATTTTTCTCCATCGAGGATTCGAGTCATTTCTTTGAGGCAAGGATGCCTGTGATTCCCCTTGCCTTCAAAGGCCAATTAAAGAAAGGTTGACCTGGTGTTGCAGTCAAACATCCTGAGGAAAACAATGGTTGTTTGGTATTAAAACCATTACTGTAAATCAATGGTGCTGCAAAAATCCCAGGGATTCTATAGTTCTACTATGTTCTACTATAACCCTGAAGGGTGTGTTTTGTTTGTCGACACCAACATCTTCAGGGTAGCAAAAGTGGCACGCTTGCAGCCTTTGGGTTTGTGTGGAACCATTGGTTGGATCTGAAGCTGGCTCGCAGCAACAACTGGGTTTTAGGACAGGCCGATTGACTACAATTCACTATTCAATCAGTACTCTGAGTACCCGCACCGTTTGTGTCCCCAACCACGTTGCACGGAGATTTGTGGTCGGCCCAAAAGGAGCCTGGTTGCTAGTCCACCACAGGACATTTTCTAGTTTTTTCCAAGCGCTTCATCGCATGAGCCTTTGATGGTTCGTTTTGCAGGTTGATTGACTAGGCTACTCAGCAGACTCGGCAGCATCCACCCACTTGAGCTTTGCAAACCGCGGCTTTGTAGAAATAGACAAGCTACAAACTTCACTGTCGGGGTGCCAAACCCAACTGTTCCAGTGTCATGAAGACTGTGTGTTCAGTCTGCGAGGCGCTACCTCGTGTGCTCAGTCTGGGAAGAACTGAAGGGCAGAATAGAAGTGAGTGCTTCAGTGATTCTGGATCCTATATATGTTTGATTATGTTTGATCCGATTTGCCTCATTTTGAAGTTGGCCAAGTTTCAGCCCCAGCTGCAATATGATTGGATCTTAGTCGAAGAAATCCCTCCACAAATAGGTAACAAGTCCAGGATATAACCGGTGACGGTCGACCTTTTGGGGAGTGTCATCCCAAGTGTTGCGAGTGCTGCTAGTGCAATTGCAATAGACATGTCTTCCTAGGAAACACCAATGCTACAGGAAGACCTATAGACAACATTGTGTTTGCGGGTCGATAAAATCCATGTTTCCTGTGAAGGTTTGCATAGACGGAGTCGTTCTGAAGTCAACAGCATTTGTCAGTGTTTCTGGTGTTGGAGGAACGTTTCTTCTTCATCCTGGGCCTTTGGCCTTACACTGTACCGCTGCTCTTTGTCTACGTCTCCGAGTATGCGCCTCTCGGCACTGCAGCAGCCGATGCAGTGGCACGACAGGTGGGTTGGGCGTGGATGACTTGGAAAGGTTCAAATTCCAATTGAAGTGCTGGGGTGGTTGGGAGTTCTACATCCTTGCGACGCATGAAAGGTGGGGTTGTCTTGGATGTGGGCCTCGAGACCACTCTCTACGCTTGCTACGAAACAACACAGGGCTTAGGGTCGTGGGAGTGCGCACGTGCTCTACCTGGTCTCAGGGCACGCAGGAGTGGAAGACATGGTGCATTCTCCGGAAGCATCAGTTGATAGAAGACATGCTCATGAAAGATTAAACCATATATGTCCTATTACCTGAAACAGTCAGTAAACAATTATCATCATTTTTGGCCAAGGCCTTTACTAACCATCATCATCCACGGTTACAGGTAATAGGATAGACCCAAAACATATATTGTAAATATTTAAACAATGCAACTATTTAGGATTTCACGGTGCTGGCATCTCACCCCCATTGCTTCCCCCCTCACTGACACAGACACTCCATGTATGCCGTATTGAATTGAATACGCCGTATTGAAAATACCTTGGGGTGGTGACCTGGGTCAACGGGGCGGCAGGTCTTCTAGTCGCACTGGTCGTGTTTGGGTTTATATAGAGCTGACGCCGACCAACTTGGGGTGGTTGAAAAGGGTGCATGTACTGGTATATGTTCAATGTCGGTATATATATATATATTATAGAGCCTGAGTGACCTCCAATTGTTTTGGACCACCAACAAATTACCTCAAATATTGATAGGCTTCGCACACCGGCGATGCCCTCGGGCTCAAGCAGCAGGGGAGGGGGTGCATTTGGAAGCAGCCAGTTGGAGGCGCGCCCGGATGTGGACAGGTCAGTGTGTTGCGTATGATAGGTGGCTGCGAATTGTGGGAAGGCCAGCGAGCAGAGAACCACGAAGGTAAACACATAAGTAAACGTATCAAATCCTGCAAATTGGAAGGGAATGAGAGTGTAGGAGATCGCAGATGCTGTACATAGCATGGAATATGAGTGCTGGATTGTATTCCGGAAATATAAATTTCACCAAACCCCAGAAGGCATAGCGTCCGACACCAGTTTGCAATCGGCATTCCCAGAGCACAACGAAGAGAAATAGGGAAGAAACGGAAACACTGATTATGTGTGAGAAGAGTGTATCACAAAAAAATCAATGACCTTCACCGGAGAGGTCTTGGAATGGAAGACTTTCAAAAGAGTTTTAAAGTCTCGATAAGAGCTTTAAAGTGCAGAAAAATGCAAAAGAATGTTTTAAATGAAAATCTTAGCAACAATCAACTCAAAAAATCTCAAAAAATCTCGAAAAATCTCGAAACATCTCGAAACATAAAAATCTCGAGGGGATAAAAGGAAAAATCATTTTAACAACTCAAAAAATCTCGAAATATTTCGCAAAATCTCGAAACATGAGAAAACATGCAAAAAGATGCAAAAAAATAATTTCACATGCAAACTGGAGCGTGATATGACTGCTGCAGTCAGTTGTGTTCAGCTGTTAGGATAACTTCTCCCCAAGAAACACAATTTGATTAACCATGTTGTGTTTGAGGTGTTTTCCCAAAAAATAGTAATATTTTGTTTTAAAAATAGAATAAATGAAAAGATGTGAAAAAATGTGGAAAATGGTTTAAAAGGTGAAAATAGATTAAACATGTGGAAAATTGATCAAAACATGTGAAAAATGCAAAAAAATAAAAATACATAAAATTTGAGAGCGGGTGGTCATGGGGCCTGGGTTTTGGTTTTCCCTAAAATTTTAGGTACATGCTTTAGTGGCAGCCCCTCTCCATATAAACACACATATCTATTCTTGCTCTCACTCTATATGAACAAATATATTATGGTTTGGAAGCAGCAATCAGTCATTCAGATGGTTTGGAACAAGGTAATTAGAAAAGAAGCAGGCCATAAAAGTGGTTATTTTAACAATTGTCCTCTAGATCTCTGCTTATAATTATGTTTAGATTTGGAAAGATTGTGTATAGACTCTTTTATGTTATAAAAGATTCTTTATAGATCTCTGCAGATAATCATGTTTAGATTTAAACAACCATATAGAAACCTTGTATGTTAAAGGCTTTCTTCTAGATTTCTGCGGGCAAGAGCTGGCATTTTCAAAGCTTTCCTCAGGATCTCTGGGAAAGTAGATATCCCTATATGTGTTTTCATGAAAGGAAAGCTCTTGAAAGAAAGACTTATTTGTTGATATATAGCATGTTTCAATTGACATGACCATTTCCAGAGATCCAGAGGAAAGCTTTTGAAAGGAAAGCTTATATATAGTTTTATTGTAGAATTGATCATCCCCAGAGATCTAGAGGGAAGCTCTTGAATTAGAAGCTTGTACATAAAACATGTTTAAAAGGTATATATTATCTCCAGTGATTACTGACAATAAATAATCTAACTATTTACTTCAAAAAAGAGTTTTAGTCTTGTTCCCAGCACTTCCAGAGCAAAAAATACTGTAAAACACGGGGTTTTGTAGCATGTGTTTTCTTAAACTAAATAGACTAGAGCTAGAATAGAATTAGGTAGAATTAAATTGGATTTGAGTTAGAGCTAAGATAAAACTGAAGTAAAACCGAATTTTAATAAACTTGTATTGAACTATAACTATAGCCTAATTGAAATTAGATGAGAGTTGAATTAGAAAGGAATTAGAATTAAAATTAGAAGTTCGCCAGAATAAGATGTAAACGCTTGAGCTATAAGCACAGAATTACGCTCGCAAAGATTTCCAACCGTTTCATGTAAAGGACAGAGTGTCCTCGCAACTGCATGTCAAGCTGTTTGGAAATGCCAGTGGCAACCGCATTGATACCAGTCAGCAGTTAATGCACTCAGACTTGTATATGGAGATTTGGACAAGGACGAAGGAAGTGTTGAGCTCAGACGGTTTCAGACGTAAGCAAAAAGAACAGATGCCTTGAGGTGAGAAGTAAGTTCAGATGCTAAACCAAAAAACCTTGAGAAAACACAAAAATCACAAAAACAATTCTGAGAGACTCTTGCTTGGACCCCCCAAAATCAGAAGAATCAGAAAACCAAAAAACCTTGGGAAAACCAAAAAACCAATTCTGGGGAAGTCTTGAGGAAAAGGGGGTCCAGCCAAGAGTCTCTGAGAATTGTTTTTTTTTGTTTTTTTGGTTTTCCCAAGGTTTTTTTGGTTTTTTGTTTTTTCTGATTTTGGGGGGTCCAGCCAAGAGTCTCCCAGAATTGTTTTTTTAGTTTGTTTGTTTTCCCATGGTTTTTAGTTCTTTTTGTTTTTTCTTATGTGTTTTTTATCCTTTATGCATATTTATCAGTGTTTTTTTGGTTTTGATTGTGGCACTGATGCATTTACCTAATATTTATGAAAATGTATGGAAAACCAAAACCCAGGCCCCATGGCCACCCCTTCTGTAAAATTTCATGCGACCCTGCTCTGATCTAATCCTACTCTGATCTAGGTAGTTAAATTTTTCTGGTGAGTGTAGAAGTTCAACCTTTGTGTCAGGATTGCGAACCTTCATGTCGAACATCGGGCCATCGAACGCCATGGAGATGATGCTCGCTCGAGCCGGCAGCTGAGCTTGTTGACCGCCAATTTTGGATGTCTGGAGCGGCTTGGAGTCAACGCTGCAGGGATACAGGAGGAGACAAGAGTGCAGTCATATTTGGCAGGAAAATTTCACTTGTTATTACTTCAAGAGGCATATAGCCTGGACTTCAAGCGGACATTGCGCACCTTCGGGTATTCATTTGTGACTGGGTGCGGCGGAAACCTTTTGATTGCAATGGGTGGCACGGGCAGACAGCAAATAGAAGTGATCAAAGATGGGAACTTTGTGAACAAAGAGGTCACGAACGAATGGAAAGTTGAAGCGGAGAGGCTGCATTTTCTGGTGGCGGTGGTGTCTTGGGAGGATGCGCAAGGACAAGCTGTGGAACGAGCTGGAAGTCCTTTTTGGCGTGTGTGTAGCATTCACATACATAATGACCTTGCAAAAAAGCGAGGCGCTATGGAGCTAATTGCAGAAAGCTTTTGGCAAATGATCCTCGAATTGGGAGTGACCTTTGTGGGAGGAGATTTTAATCAGGGATTCCCAATTATGTGCGAGGTGCTGGAGCAGGTTCTTCGCAGGACGCAGGCACCGTTGGCCCCGCACTATCACAATCCACCGCCGGGCGATTGCGCGCACCTGGTGTCTCTTTTGCCTGCGCGGGCTGCTTTGGTGGCACGCCAGAGCAAATCCACGGTTGGAGTTCAGCCGAGAGATTTGTTATTTCGCCCCAGTGATTGCGACTGGCGTTATCCTATCTTAGTGCATTGGCAAAGTTGCAATCAGCGCAGAAAACGTAAAGGTCCAGCAGTAGAGGTGCAGCCAGAGGGCGCGCAGCCTGCTGCTGTTGGTCGAGTGACAGAAACTTCAGGGTGAGAGCGTGACGTTGGGACTTTCAGCCACTGCGCGTGCTTGTGTCAACAGCGATCCGGTGAAGAAAAATGGTTGCTGAGAAGTGTCATAAAACAGAAAGGGGCACAGTTAAAAGTTAAAAGAAAACAACCAATGAACAGTCCAAGGAAAGATTTATTTAACTCCGCGGAGTGTTCGGCCAGCCTTTGTTGGGGCCGTTGCTGCTTGTGTAACCTAACTTGGTCTGCTGACGTTCATCTGGCTCCAGGGCAAAGAACTTTTCAAGCGAGGCATAGTGCGGTGTTAATGCACTGGGCGACCAGGTACTTGGGCGCAGTGTGCAGGTGCAGGACGATTTTGGATCGGACCATGACCATGTAGAGGATTGGCTTAGCGGTTGGTCATTGCCCATGGTGTGTGCAGGGTTTCCTTGACCAGGGGAAAGCAGGTCTGTGTGCATGCAGCTTGGCATTGTTGCTGGTTCTGGGGTAGAGACAGTAATGTAACATCGAAGTCACATTTTCGTGGCAGGTGCAGGACGTGGGCATGCTTAATTTGGCTGTGCCTTGGAATTCTGACTGAAACGGTCGTGTTCATTTTTCGTGGCAGGCGCAGCATTTCGTGAGCTTTGAGGTACAACTTTCGTGGCCGGCGTGTTAGCGGTCATTTTTCGTGACAGGCGCAGCATTTGCTGACCTTCGAGGGAAAGATTCGTGGCAGGCGCAATACAAAGTGAAGGTTGCTCAGCGCTAGCAATCATTTTTCGTGACAGTCGTAGCATTTGGTGATCTTGGAGGTGAAGGTTGCAAAGTGAAAGTGAGTTTTAGCATGTATGTTGAGGCACGGGCGCAGTATTGAATAATCTTGAAGATACAGATTCATCATCATCGTCATCATCATCATCATCAAACACTTTTCCAGTCGGGACACCCCTGGCGGCGCCGTTTCTCACTCAACTCCTATAGATGTTATATTTTCGAAACTTCCGTCACCGCCTCGTGCGGCTATATGTTAAATATTACATTCTTTGGATAGTTGAATACTTACACTCGGGATCAAAGTCCCGTTGCTGTTCGACTTAGCTTTCCCAGGCCACTATGCTCATTTCCTCTTCCCGTCCCGTCCTTCGACTCTGTTTTCTCCCCTCTCTTCCTCCTTGGCCTCGTCGCCAAGCCGACCGTCGGATTGGGTCCTCCACCACCGAGGATCCAAAGCGGTCTCTGGGCGGCGATGGGCTTTCCAGTCACGGACCCCGTGAGCCGCCGCAGCTGGCGACCTGGAGCGGTTCGCGGGGGAGAACCGGGTCAGCGGGGGGGGAGTCAGCGGGGAGAACGAGAAGCTCGGTGGAGCCACAACTTGGAGACGAAGTCAGGTGGGATGGGGTTTTGAGGTGTTAGGTGCCCTTCCTTCAGGTGAGCGGCTCGTGAGCCGAATCTGTAAGAGAGGTGGGAAGGTCAACTTGAAAGAAAGCACACACACACTCTCCTTTTTGCACGGGACCCCACATGGACTTTCCAGAACCACTGGGTTGGTCCATTCCTGGAACGTACGAAACCGGACCCACGGGGCGGATGAGGTGAGCATGTGGGGCATGTGGTGAAGAATTGATGTTTGATGAGGTGAGAAAAGATGAGAAACGTCAGTTGGATCGGAAAGAGCTAGTGACGGTCAAATAAGAACATGTCGACCAACAAAAAGAGAGAGGCGCCATGGAATGCTGGCTGGCCACCCACGCCACCTACACATGGGGATGGGTCCAATGGGTGCTCTTCTTTCGAACGTTGGAAGATCCAGAAAGCATCACATGGGATGTATAGCTAGGATTCAGATCAGGTGGAGTCTCAAATTTGATGCTTGAAGACAGTCTGGATAGGGGGGTCCAAGTTGCCCACCTTTTTGTCGTGAGCTACACATGCAGTCGCCTGGGCAGTCTCTCCGTCCTGGGGGCAAAAGAGATAAATTCCGTTTGGATCCAAGGGCCACGTACCAGGCTCACACCAACGTACCAGGCTCCGATAACTATGATTCTAAGGCGGTTATGGGTATTTCTGGCACCATGTTTGTTTTGATCCATCTTCATGATATAGACCTCCAAATAGATAGAAAAGTAAATCACCGTTTCTATTTATTTGGGGACCACTGATGAGCCAAGGTACAAGTGGTCCAACTTCACCTATCAAGTTGGCGTTTTCATCTCCAGGCGTGGATAGACTCTTTGCATGCCACCTGCAGCTCGCCATCAGCTTGACCAGATCAATCATTTGTTTCAGACCATGAACTGGTGGAAGGGTCGGTGAACCTTTGTATAGGAAACAGAGTATTTTTGGTCATTAGTCATTAGGGTCACTTGATGAGGCAAACAACAATCCTTGGATTCTTTTGCAAGATCTCTCCTAGCCATGGAAAAGAACATGACATGTTCATTGCCAGACCATCCAAGTGCTGGCTCTCTTCCTTAGGGCGGTTTTCCACAAGCCTGAGGATGTGGAACACTGGTACATACAAGGCCTGAAATGGATCCAATGATCCAATGCACCGGCACCAGGACCTTCTTCATCCTCATTTGCCGGAGTCGGTCGGTCCTGTGGCCGCTTGGTGTGTTGGACAGGTTTGTTTGCCAAAGACGCGGATTGTGCCATACCATGCCATGCTATACCTGGTACCTATTATTCGATAGTCTATAAAATTCTATTTATATATTTATCTACAATAGGCTCCTAAAACCTGTCTTAAACGATATTCATGTTCTAAAGGTCAATCTCCAATATGTGTGGAGCCCCAATTCCTTCCTGTGGAGGCCTTTGGAACCAAACAACAATGAGGCGCCAGATTCCCCAGCCCACTGCCGGCCTTCTGCCGCCCAGGTCCGGTGGCCTTTTGCAGATCTTGATGGCAATCTTCTTCACCTTCGCCGCGGTGTTGCTCGGCTCCCGACCCCGCCTCTCGTCGACCGTCAAGGACGTGATGCGCGCACGATATGCGGCGGCACGTGACGTGACACACCGAGGCATCCCTTCGGTGGCTGGTGGTTACTGGCACCCTCGCTCTTCGTGGGCTTCCTGGGCGGCGGAGTCTATGTGCCTTTCCCTTCAGAAGAATTGGGGAGAGGTGGTGGGAGGTACCAGGTAAGGTGCTGATGAGTCAAGTGGCTGTGAACGAACTTTTGGATGCTGGAGAAACTCTCTTGTAGCGACCCTGCCGGTCTTGCTGTGTGCCTTGGACCTTCCAAGTAAGAGATCCAACAGGGGTCCTTTTGGATTTGAATATACTACCTTCGGATGAAATGGGATTTTGAAAACATACATGAGAACTCACACATATATCTGAAAGATTTTGTGCGAAAATGGAGGTTCAATGGATCTCTCTCAGAAGTGCTGCAATGAGGATTAAGTGAAGCACAGCTAGGCACGCTGGATTAGATAAGCATGCCCCTCAGAAGGTCTACAAGCTTTTGGACTGCCACTTTTGACAAAGAGACGTCCGTTGTGGAGAAGAGTTCAACCATTCGGTTGATCAGGCTTTTTTTGCCATTGACTATACATGGTATTCTTGGAGAGCCATGCACACTTTAGGACGAAGCCGCCAAAGTCCACATCTGAAACACGCCGCCTAAATCGTTCAAGTTGTGCCCAGCAGCGTCTCAAAAAGTTGGTTCGAAGCACGGAGCCCTCGCCCCCTCCCCGAGGTGGGAGCCTTCTCTCTCATCGCCAAGGTGCGGGAGTCGGTGGAGGGTATGAGGAAGCGACGACTTTCAACCTAACCTCGTTTTCGGCAGAAGGTTTTTATACACTGGTCCGGTCTGGACGGAGGATGTTTGGAGAAGCGGTTTACATGAGGGTGACGCTGTTGCGATACGCATTTCTTTGGGATTCGACTCACATGACTCACCGCGGGGAGACACAAACGACGACGAAGAAAACGACGAGCGACGAACACCCTGCAGAAGAAACCCCCCCCAAAGCGTCGCTCGGATCCTGAAAGCGTCACATGTCCACACCAAACGGGGTGTGGCTGGGATCACTCAGCGTGGATCATTCACCCAGGTTCGCTCCAGAACGGACAGCTTGTTAGCGAACTGCTTTGTTTGAGGGAAGAGCGCACGGGAAGCAAACAGAATGCACCCACAATTATATACAGAAACCCTCGGACTGCTAGTCCTAGATGCTTCTACTGATTTGCTAGCCTTGCACCCTATAACACAAAGTTGCCTTTGGTTCGCTTCACCGTTCGCCACGCCACGTGAACCAGCGAGGAGCAGAACTCCGCCTATGTAGAGTTAGCCTTGTGTTCCGCCTCCGTGGCCGACACCATCGGCATGATCTTCGCCAACATCTTGGGGCTCATTGCGCAAGGACCGGCAACGCGACGGGCGAGTGTTCCATCAGAGGCAGAGGGGCTGCGGCCCTTTTTAGCTAGGTGGCTGGGTATGGTATCATGATGCATCATGTGATGTGCCACTAAGGCAGGACATCTCAGGAGTGAGTTTCTTGGGTTTCGATGGGTGTGCCTTGGTGCTGGTGTTCTTTGAAGGTTGGAGCAAAGTTCCAGAATGGGGCATGTTGCACCGGGATCCACAGCTTCTTCCTATAAGTCGACGGCATGGGTTGTGGAGAAAACAGTGGACTCGGATCGGTGTGCCCATGCGGTTTGTAGATCTCAGGCGATCTTCTCAGCTTTAAAGTGCCCAATGATATGCCAAACACGACTAATGGGACTGCCATAGGACTGCCGCCCCATTGACCCCCACAACCACCCCAATGTGGCGGCAGTCCTATGGCAGTCCCATTAGTCGTGTTTGGGATATACATGATATACATTGGGTGCACCTGAGACACTGTCATTTCATCGGCCAGGATGCATCTTCGGGATGATGCGGGCGACTTGTCCTCGGACGGCGGACCGGTGGGACGGGCGCCAGGGCCAGATGGGGGGGGGGTGCACTCCAGCAAGAAACGACACATGGAAGTGGAGTGAAGAAGTGTAGAGGAAAGCACCTGTTTGTAGAGGAAAGTAAGTAGTCTTCCAAGGTACCTTGCCATCCACTCTGTTAATGAGGCACACGGTGAAAACTGCTCTTCTTTTGAACTTCTTTAGAACGTGGCAAGGAACGCCAGTGGCAGAAGCTCGCTTTTTCCCGAAGCACTGGCCGAGCTTGGACACCGTGTTGCTTGACATGAGAGTTGAGTGGAAATGAGAGACAAACCATTGGGGCCCTAAGAGCCAGCAGAGGACCATCGAGGACCTATTTGTTCATTCACAAACACCGAAAGTCCAAAGGCCCATACCGCATACCTTTTCTCCCCATACCGCAAGTGGCTGGCTGGGGTCGTACGACCGAAGGCCGTGAGATCTCTGACGGCGGACGTCCAGCACCGCAGCTCTGAGGTGCTGGACACTAAGCCGGACTTCACCTGTGGCTTTGACATTTGGGATAACTTCAACCGCACCTCGGTTTGTTTCGTGATGCGAAGGGATGCGTCCCGGGGGGGGGTGCCAGATGCTCTCAGTGGTTTTGATCAGCATTCGTTTGGGGAATCCTTTTTGAACACTAGAAGCATCAACAGGTTGAGATTCGTTCATCCCGAGTTGGTTGTTGATTCTCATGCCTCCGCTGGGATCCATGTGGCATTGGGCATGGGTTCGGAAGGTGAGCGAGTCGGGGAACTCCGGTGGGACAGACTGTGAGGGATGTGAAGATAGGCGATGGGCCATGCATGGCACGGCTTGCAGCTCCAACGAGTGGAGGAATGCCCTTCTTTTTGGTCCACCAGTGTCTCAACAAAAAAAATCAGCGATAGAAACGGGGCGTGAAAAACGGCTCCGCAACACGGACGACCAAAACATCGACCGGTGGCACGCGGACAAAGGTCCCAGTCTTTTTGTTTAAGAAATTAATTAGGAACCACATGAATAGCGTGAGCATGCGTGAGCTATCTTGCGTCCAGTAGGTAGTAGTGGCTACCTCGCACTTCGGAAGTACCACAAAAAAAGAAACAAGTGAAAAACACAGGTGTTTCCACTTTATTGTTTTTTCTGGGGCGCAGGTTACTTTTGTTGGAATTTTGAGTGTTTGCGGGGTCCCTCCTTCTTTTCGAAGCGCATCATGTCACGAGTATACTCATGTAGCCGCTTGGGGCTCATAATGCTTGGAAGACTGGTGAAGATGCCTGGCCCGATGCACACTTGCAAGAGTGCATGTTCTACTTGAGGCGTGGCAAGCTAATTCAGCTGCCAGAAAAATAACATAAAGACTCAAGCTTAATTGAATGCTTGATCCGGACAGTGCGGGATTGCAACTTTGATCACAGTTCGCGGGAAACAAATGTATAGCAGCATAGCAGAAATTCCCGGAATTGTAGCGAACAACATGTAAGCCAGGGAGATCAGTTTATCCTCATATACCTTCAATTGTGAAGTTAATGAAGACTTCATTGGAATAATTTTGAGGATTTCAAGGTGAGAGTCAAGAAACATTTGCAAAAGAAAGCATGAGGTGGAAACATGGCAGTGATCGACCGCAACATGTTTTTAGCGGTCTTCCAAATTTCACTTTGACTGCTGTTTTTTTCCCAAGGAATGTTCCCTTCTTCTATCTTTGTTACCTCTTCGTTCATCAAACAACATTTGTCACTTTTTCTTGTTTCGCGACATGTAGGTTCTAGGTATACCGCCCCTCCTTGCTTCTGCGTACGCGACGACTTATTTTTATAAGTAAGAGCGGGTTTAAACAACGGGTATATATATATATATATATACGAGATCCCTATAGCTGCGATGGGTTGAGACGAAAACCTCGACCTTCGACAAAACCTCGACGTTTCGGCCCATCCTGCCTGAACGTTTTGGCCATCGGTCTGCATCCCAGACACGACTAAAGGGACTGCCAGGACGGACTGCCGCCCCAGACAGACCCCCAGTCAACCATCCCTGGCCTGATTGGCAGTCCTATGGCAGTCCCATGGGTCGTGTCTGGGTATGATGGAATGCATTCCTACCATAGTTACAAGTCTAAAGACGCAGTAAAACCTGGTCTTGTACCTCCTTAAGTATTGGTTTTGTATGACTTGTAGGGCTATTTGTTTTCGAGATGTTGCTTGTTGTGCCTGAACCACCGTCCGCTCAGGCACCAGCCATCCACCAGTCTATGCCACGCACTGCTTCCCTGGAGTACAAGGTTGACAAGTGCCCTGGATACCACAAGAGAAGCCAATTCAAGCCACAGGCAACTGAATGTGTTCTTCACAAAAGTGAGATGTGTATCATGTGTTTGGAAGCATGTGATTTTCCCCAGTACTTCGATGAACAGTCACGGTCAGGGCTCATAAGGGCAGCAATTGCTGGTTGGTCCTTTGGCAAAATATGGCAGTAGAAAGACCAACCACAAATGATCAACCATAAATGACCAACCATAAAGCAGAAAGACCGTTTGCTCTATGGTCATGGTAGACTCCCTTCCATCAGCTTAGGAGTCGTTTGGACAGGCGAACGCTCGTCGCAGTACGTGTGCGAAATACTTCGCTCTACTCGGACCTTCGGTCCTTGGCACTACTCGGAACGAAGGCACGTTCCAGTGCCTGTTAGGGGTGTGGCTCGGTCCCTCCGTGAGTGGAACGCAGGCACGGCTATCCTCCGGTCCCAAAGGAGCTGTTGCTGCTGGTTGACTGTTTGAATCTGTTGCTGGGCCACAGATGTGACAAACAACAAATGTTTGCCTTATGTGATGTATTTGGATCACTCTCTTTGCACATGTCATGCACGTCTGTGTGATCTTAAACCGGTCCACGCTGGTGACCGGTCACGTGCGTTTTTTCCCCGGGCAGGTGGAAGATGTTCCGTTCCAAAAAGCTGGCCTGTCACAAGCAACTCACAAAGAACAAGATGAACAAGTAGATTCAGGAAAAAGCTCGATTCAGGTCCAGGTACAGCTCTTCTTCCCCAAATGATGTCGGTTTCTTCTATAATCTTCTATATACATATACAGCATTATCATACATTGAATACGTGTTATCAGGTTTTATTTCTTGTCTCAGTCATGGTTCTGGGCCTCTCTTCATTCGTGAGTAGGCCGAAGCCCGAAGCTAGTTATGTATCATGGACGCAGTCTGTTGAAAGCCAATGGGATAGAGTTTTCATGTGTTTTCCATGATAGCAGCATCCTTTACTAAACTGACCCTAACAAACAAATCACTTTCTGCTCGTGACACTCCAGAGTAGACATGAGGAACCCATTCCAGACTGGTATCACGATTTGGGAATGAGGGCAGGAACTCACCCCAAAAACGAGATTCCAGACTGGATCCAGCCACTCGGGTCCTTCACGTCGTGTCTTCGCGCCCGAACTGAGGTGCCCAGCAGCCGTGGCGCGAACCCGCACCTGCAATCGCGAGTGAGCTTCGCTCGACTGAGTCGTCCGGAGAAGCTACACGCCACGTGCTTCAGAGCAAGTGAGGGATCCGGACCGCAAGAGAGCGCCAAAATGGTGAATGAAAGACGAGCAGTGACAAGTGTTTTGGATACTCGTTGTGCATACACGTGCATCTCCTCCAACAACGATTTTGAATTGGACGCCGTTCTTATCCATTTGAGGACTTCTCTATTGTCTATTATTCATCAAGTAAAACTATTTGTATGTTCATATTGACTCCAACACGGAAAGAAACCTTGAATCTTGATAAGATTGCTGTTTCAAAATGGTGTAAAAGGCATGGTGCAAGAGTTGTTTGTTTGTTGTACAAATCATGCAAATTCTGAGGCCCTTCTTGGTACAAGAGTAGAATATCCCCTCCAAGTTGTGCAGACAACCACAGTGACCTGTCAGACCACAAATCGGTTGGATGAGCAGGAACTCTCAGAGAGCTCATGCTTGTGTAAGAATCCAGGGGACACATGGAGGGGTCCTAACTCTGTCACGTGGTGCACAGTCATCAAACAAAGAACAAACGAAAGCACGTTTCAAGAGCTAGACCCGCTGGATTGTACTTCTCCTCTCGTCTCAACTTGAGTAAACGCTATTAACGTCGGACTTCTTCTGGATGAGCCACATGACCAGGCCAAAAAGGGTCGCAGATGTGGATGGGTATGAACACCTGAACACCGCAGCTTTGTTGGCCCAAATCAACCAGTTCCTTGAGGAAGACAAAGTTGTGAGTGCATGAGGATTGAATGAATGTTATAATCAAGTAATTGCTATCTCTTTTGCAGGCTGGATGTTCACTCTGCCAAATCAAGAACTCCTTCTTCTCCTGTTGCTGCCATGAAGGATCGCTTCCGCATCTATCGCGATGTGATCGCTACTTGGACGACTGCATCCAGCCTTCCGTCCACTCAAGGGTTCCGTTCGATGTTCCAAGGTTCCAAACGTCGGTCCGGACGTTTCACTCCTAGGCCTTCTGGATCTTGGGGCTTTTGAACAACTTCCTCTACGTCACCATGAACGCTGGGGCTGAGAACATCAACGAGGCCGAGCCGTACCGAGCCGAGTACATCCGGTCCGTCGGGACCGTCGTTGGCACGAGCTTGTTACTAGTAGCCATGGAAAGGTTCCCAGGGTTCTTTGGGGAAAAATATGGAAGGAGGATGTCACTGTCACAGTCGGAAGTTCAATCGTTCGTCTTAACCCAAGAAGAACGAGCAGCATAAGAATGCACCAACAAAACCACAAGTCACCCACTTTGCAGTGTCAATTGATCTAGCATTTCTAGAATCTAGATGAATCTAGTTTTTGTTTTCATCAAAAACGTATCCAACAGATCCAACTTGTCGGTGACCGTCCGCTGCCTTCCCTTTTAAATTAGACCGGGAAAAGACAGTAGACCAAAAGACAGTGGAGAAACGGAGAAACCAGAAAAAGTGCCACATGTCCTTTTCAGGATTCAATGTGTCTTTTACGATTTTTTTTGCGACGTACTAATTGTGAATATAGAAGATCTCTACCTAAGAGTTTCAAGGGGTGCTTCATGAAGGTTAGGGGTGCACAATATCCACTCACTTAGTGACTAAACACCACCCCTTTGTGAATTCTGGTCAACGCAAATTCTTTTGCCACGGGTTCTTAGCTACGACCGCCGACCACCGCGGGCCATTTCCTGCGTCCTCTCAGTTGGATCCGTGGCGCGTTTTCGCTCCGAGATCCGAGTTGTTAAAAAAGGTCCCAAGCCAGCAGTTGGACGAATCCGGGTGGACTTGAATAGTTCCAAGTTTTATTTTTCCATTTTGTACCATATATATGGTTAATGATGTTCAATCTTTTAACTTGTTTAACGAACAAAGCTTGGAACACGATGTCTCTTTTGCATGGGCATGGCGGCATGACTGTGATTTCACACCAGGCGGGGATTGCCTTGGTTTACCTCGCGAACATCCTGCCGAGACATGCTTCGAACAAGAGCACTAAGTCGGAGGGCAGTGCGGTGATGAGAACAAGTCATACCACCACGAAGAGTTCGTCGGTATGCGCTAGTGTGTTTGCGCTCGGTATGCGCCTGGTAAATCGTTGGTAGGACATACTGAAAACACCCGAGATGAGCAATTTGTTCATGGAAAACTGGAAAATATAGAAGGGACACGGAACAAGTCCAAGATCTCCGAAGTTCCTCCATCACTGTCTTCTCAATGACGACACCGTCAGAAGGATAAAGTGCAGACAATTTTATTTCCATCCATTTTGCAGTAAAGTCTGTTCTCATCGCCAGGAAGACCAAGACAAATTAGAATTAAACATAATTTATAACAACTTTCTGTGAAGAAACCTTCAAGGGGGCCCTTGAAAGGGGCCCTGACCGAAGTGGTGCTCTATGAAAGAGGCTCTCCTTTAATCCTTAGTTCGGTGGTGCTAGTTGAAATGGACTCTATATGATGTCCAATCGTTCACAGGTGCTGGAGCACGGAGAGCTCCGTCCTCCGTCGATTCGATTCGATGCATGGCGAGAGTCTCGAAGCCAGCGAAGCAAGGACGCTTTTGGTGAAACTCACAGGGCCTTATTGGTTCCACTACGTGAGTTACAGGCGAGATGACGAGCACATGAACTTCTGTTCAGCGAGCGGATTTTGCGATCTGTGGAGCTTGGTGTCTGCAACTGCGCAGGATAGTGGGGATGTCAAGGAATGGACACAATCTGGCATATTTGTCTTTTCAATTTTAGTCTTTCAGTCTTTCAGGAATCATTCTCATACTTCATGATTTTCCCTGTTGAAACTACCTATAGAAGGCCCAGAAGGCCATGTCCTTAGGGAGGGCTTCGTCCCAGGGAGGGGTCAACATGAACTGAGAGGTGCCGCATGAACTTCATCGCCATTCTGATGGTCTTTTGCCTTTGCATCGTGGCCTGGGGCGACAGCACCAGCATCAAACTCCTTGGAGTAGCTTAGCAGGCAGTTAGGGGGGTGAGGACCATGAGGACATCTCTGAATCCTCCAGACGAGTCCAGGTGAACATCCATGATTTGTTTTACTCACAGACTCATAGAGTTGTCCTGGATGAGTTGATTTGAAGGTGTTTGGACCTCCAGAAATAGGTACTATGAGCAAACACCGATCAAAATGAATCCCTTTGGACAAAGAGTAGCCAAAACCTATACTGGACAGTTCTTTGCTTCACGGGGTGGTCACTGTGTTTTGGAGTAAGTGGCATGCGACAGTGCCTGATTCGGGCGTTCAAATATCCCACCCTGAAATTCAAAAATGGATGCTTAGCGAATGGCCATATTGAAACATATTCCATCACATTCCAAACACCTTTGAAAGACCGGAACATCACCTGCGACGGTCCACAACGCGCGATGAAAAAGCACGAATGACTCTCCAAACTTCAATCTCCCATCGGAGATCATCCCATCTCCCATGTCTTTGTTCTTTTGGTGCCAGAGACACGCACCAAAACCGCCGAAGCTTCGCAGCCGAACCGGCGCGGCGGCTGGAAGTCCAAAGCCTGGCTCCGCGAAGCGAAGCCGCGGAACCGCAGGTGGCGATCTGCTCCTTGGCCTCGGGCGTTGGTGAGGCCAGCTTATTGGCACCTCGGCGCTTGGCCTTCCTCCTGTCTTCGGTCCGTCGACCCGTTCCTTTGGAATCCAACGGACTCTTGAAACACATGGCTTTCTGACCCTCTTATTCATGCGAAACACAACAACTCGGTTTTCGTTCCTTGACCTGAATTTCCTGCCCTAGTGACCCATAAGACTGTTGAAAGGGTTGACACGTCCACTAACTTGCAGTTCTTCCATCCGCAGAGAAGACGGAGTCCGGAATGGCCATTTTTTCTGGAGGAGGGGCGACTGTTCTCAGGGCGAAGAAAGAATCTTCTCGAAATTCCACCAGCTTTTCGAGTGGATGGGGTCGTGGGAACCAAAGGCTTAGCCATTGAGGTGAGGAGATATCAGTGGGGCTGCGTTGATGGTATCAGATAGTCGGTGGAAGCTTGTGTTCAGGCATTTGGAGTTGACCAAACTTCCGGTTGCTGGCTCGCTGTTGCTTTACATGAAATACTATGGACAAATCTCGTTGACATGAATACAGGATTCGTTGCTTTGTGAAACCGCTGACTGGTTGGTGGTCATCTCAGTGGATGGCTCGCGCCGGCCTGGCCTTGCGATTTTCCCTCCAAAGATCCCAAGGCCATGGCAAGCTTTTATGAAACAAAGGCGCACCGGGCCGTTTTGCTTGTGCTGTTGAAAGGGGCAGGGTCCCGGGTAGCCACCCAAAACATTCTAAAACCACCATAAACTAACCACCGGGCGTCGGTACTTTCCGTCGTTATTGGCTATTGAATGGGTGATTGTGTATGTTTTTACCAATCACATGATTGGATCGGCGTCGTCGAAGTGCTCGAGGATGATTGGGGGGGAGTGAGGGACATCAGTGAAGAGTGTAGATGTATTCACTTTCTTGCCACGACCTATGGAAGAATCCATCTCCATCGTGACCTGTAGCATCCGAGTCGTTGAGAGTTCCAAGAAACCGCACCACCGAAGCAGCCCCAACTGATGCACTTGTTTCAATCACAGAAGTGTGTATCAACCCCCGCGGTCCCTCAGTCGTACTTCCACTTAACACACTGGGGATTGGACATCATATGAAGACCAACCCAAAATATATAGTCCAAACTAGGGCTCCTCTTCAATGAGGGAAGTCTTTGTTTTGAGTCTCTTTAATCACCCTTCATTACCAGCGGAGCCCTGGGAGTCTGTTCGCTTTCAGCGGATGCTTCGGACGCATCGCGACACATCGCGACGCCCAGCCCTGCTTGGCTGCCTGGTCTTCGGGCACTGGCTTCGCTGGCATTGCTGGGTATGCCTGGTCAGCTGGATGCAGAGGGATTTTTGAGCCATTGTTGGACTTTGTGAAGTTGAGATGATTTGTATGATTTGGACGGCTTTGATATGCTTTGACAGTTGATTTTGAATATTCACCCTGGAAGACGATCCCATGGACCCTGAGTACACCACGTCGGTTGGTTTTTGGAGCCTACACTCGGACTCAGGGGGGCTGAAACGTCGTCAGGGTCCAGTGTTTGGGAGTGTAGCCAGCCTGAGAGATGCACGCTTCGAATCCTTTAGATCTTGGCTCTTGGACCGGAGCATCGGATCTGCCACGAGCAGGTTGAAAGGGGAGTGAAGGGGGTTGTCTTTAGCATGAACGGTATTTTCGCCATGAGGAGCCCAAGGAATACGTGCCAAAGTAAGAAATAAGAAGGGATCCCCCCCCTACTGATGATCTCCAGTAGAATTCCAGCATCAGCAACCCTTTGTATATCGAGGGAAGTGGTCATCCGGAATCGGGGTCATACCATCCACGCAACCATCGAACGGTTTTTGATGGATTGTATCCCTAGCCAGCTCAATTCACCACTGGAAAAGGCATTCATTCCACGGAGACTGGTCATTCGATCCCACCGTTTTGATTCATATCATTTGCCACGTCGCCCTTCCGCGGCTCGTTTGTTCTTTTTCCTGCAAGGTCCCTGGCATTCGACGCCATGAACACCTGCTTCCAGGCATCCGACAAAACTGAAGCCGAAAAGCACAACTATCATGGTGTCAGTCTAAGAACTTGGACTGGGAGAATCAACAGTTCCATGAACACAGAAACACCTCTTCCCCCAAAAAGCAAGTGGTCTCATCAAAGAACGTTTGTAGCTTCCAAAAAGAACACCATCTGCCATCAGACCGGGACGCTTCTTCTCAAAAGCCCACGGCGGTGTCGTCCGCCGAACGGCCGGTGCCGAAGGCTCCGAGCGCCAGGTGCAACTCATGGTGGCCCTTTGGATCCCCATCGCCTGGCACCATGGGCCCAATCTCTGTCCGTAGACGTGGACGTGGGGGTTTTAACGTGGGTCCCGACGTGGGTCCGATGGTTGGGAGGACGAGTTGTGTTCGTGCGGAGGGGGGAGGGGACGTGGCTCCATGGAGGAGGAGGGATTTGGGGTGTGTAAACGAGCAGAGATTGGTGTTCCAGGTGGATGTACTGTACGCTAAGGGCGGATCGTTCAATCAGCATTTTCAGGTTTGGAGGATCCAGCTGACATGGCTTCACTGGAAGATTGGTGTTCGCTTCACTTCTGAGTTAAGGATGTCCAGAGGCCACGATGTCCTGAGAGTGGAGCGAAATGATTCTGCCACAGATGCTACCGTGGGTTGGTTTGCTATTGAGGTGAGCAAGGGTCAAAGGATCAATATAGCTTGCTTGCCGACGTAGGTCAAGAATATTACCTTTTGATCATCGCTGAGGTATTTCACCTTTTTCTACCTGCTTGGTCCGCCTTGGATTGACAAGGTGGGCTCCGCAGGAAATGGATCGCACTGATTTCAAGCATTTTTGTAGTGCCAGCAAGCAGCACCACCCAATTCCTGTGGTTATTGATGGACAATACATGATATATTATTGCATCTGCATAAATTGGTTTGGTGCTGGAATATTACACAATGATCCATCATGTGATGTTTCCTGTTTATATAGCTTCACTTGCAAGACATCAACATGACTTTCTAGCTGGCTCCTTTTTCATCTCAGCTCCAAGTTGCTCCTAAGCCTCCACGATGTTTGGGAGCACAGCATCATCCTATGGCCTCTGAAACAGAGTCTTCCAGAGGGTCTACACTTGGGATGGAGGATGGATGAACAGATGTGCTCTTTTTGATCCACAAGCCTGGAATCCCCACTCAAGTTTACCTCAAACCTTTTTGTGTGGGACTTCACCACTAACTGCTCGAGCCAAGTTAAGTTTTCGGACTTGGAACTGATGATTCGCATGCTTCACATATGTTTGCACATCGATCCACAATGAGTAGACTGTATGTTGGCACCATGTCTGTAACCTTTTTTGCGTTGTTCGTTCACCCTGACCCTTTCAGCCCTCAGGAGCGTGGTGCTGAGGAACTGGCCTGCGGCGAAAGCGAGGAAGAGGTGCCAACAGGATTGATGTGGACTTACCAACAGGATTGATGTGGATCGAAGTGGATGCATTCATATATATATATATATATTCATATTCTTTCTTCTTCCATGAACAGTGGCACGGGCCTGGCACGGGTGGACCTCCCCAAAGGTACTCGTAACGATAGTCGATGTTCTTGATTTCTGTGAGTTATAGGGGTTCGCGTGGGTTCTCCACGCGCACCCTATCATCATCCCTCCCAACAAAAACAACCTCTGAGATGAGACTGTGAAGGAACCCACCGTGGCGGCACATGAAAAGGTTTGTGTCCCTGTGGATCTTCCCCGTCTCCCCGGTTGTTCCGAGAAAAAGTTGCCATTCCTGCCAAACAAATCACCACGTCCATCCAAACAAGTTTACGTCCCAACCTTTGAATGCCGACCGGTTGAAGAATGACTGAAGTGACGGTATACCCGTGCGTAGTGCGGAATGGAATGGAATATATTATATACATTGATGCCAGTTCAACCACCCGCTGCCAGTTCCATGGAGTGTTTTTCCCTTGCCAGTGAGTCTTCATGAACGCTCTTCGTTTTCCTTGACTGATACACTGGCTTTTTGGGGGGGAGATGGATGTGGCTGAGAAGGTTCCCAGCAAACTGCGGAACATGAGGATCTAGTGGGTTTGATTGTAGCTATGGCCAGACTGGCGAGGCTGCACGAGACAGCCGAAACGACCTACCAGAAGTTGGAGTGTTCTTTCTTTTTTTTGTGCGTGTTCCTTTGTTTATGGGTGGCGCTTCTGCCCCATACCCAGCCAATCCATCGGACTGGAATATTTTGGAATATTTGCCTACACTACGGTGGTTTGGAGATCCTTAAGGATGATATATAACAAATTGCCCCATGATGCCATACATGGATGATTTGGGATTGATACATAAAGATACACCTATATATTATGATCTGAATCATAATTGATAATATATATGCATCGCTTCTAGTAACAAGTGCCTGCCTTACTAGTAGCAACAAGAAGCTAGTAGTAACAAGTGCATCGCTTCTAGTAATATAAAAATAGAAAACATGCCTGAGAAATCCCACCCGCCACCCAGCCTACCAGGTGGTCTCCAGCTCCGAGTCCGTGTCCTCGAACGCCTCCAGCGAGCATAGCGCCTCGGAGGTCATCACTGGGCAGCTCAGCGCCAAGGAGCTCATGGGAGAAGGATGGAGAAGGATGGAATCAACCAAAAGGTATGTGTTTCTTTTTTTTTCTAAATTACTGTACTGATTTGTAATGAGTTTGTTTGTTTGTGTGTTTGTTTGTTTGTTTGTTCGTTTTAGTACACATCTTGTTGTTTGCGTCCCACTGGATGAGTCTTGGCCATTTGTTTGGTGATTTGTCCATGTCTTTTTTCTGTCTGAAAGCATGGGTGTAGGCGATGGCAACACCAAGCCTGGATCCTGTAGAAAACCTGACATCCGGGTTCATAGACCTTGTGTATACCGTCCCCATGTCCTTGATTACTGTGAACATTCCGTTCGGGACGCCAGAAACAAGTTTGTGATGTAGCAAGTGGCCGCGTGAGGGCGCAGTGCGGTGCTGATGTAGCTAGGCTAGGCCAAGTTGGCCAAACTTTCATCAAGCGGCACAAAGGATGCGTAGAAACAACGCGGGCCAAGGATGGCTGCCAAACATCTCTTGGATCGCTAGAAAAGAATTTGACTATAGCAGTCCCATATATCCACCGTCCCATATATCCATTCTTTCAGACGTCAGACACATTGGCAGGAACGGTTCTGCTTCATTGCGGGGCTTTGGCCCTACATGGTGCCACTCTTTCTGGTCTATGCGGCCGAGTACACGAGCCTCACGTCGCACCATTCCCGTCGCGGCCGGCGACCGGCGACCGGTGGTCGGTGGGGTGGGGAGGCAGGGGCTGAGCGGATCCAGGATGAATGTGTTTCGACGGAGGCCGGATTCCGGACGTAGGAAGGATATAGCGCGCTGAGGCGCTCGCGCGTTTGCATGCATGGGATCGAGCATGGGCAATCGGAACCGTCGACAGATCGGTTTGAAGCGCGAAATCTGGAAAGGATTTAACCATGTAATATGGATCTAACCTTTCTTCTAAACCTGGTTAGATCTGGAAAGGATTTATCATGTTTGTTGGATACATCCGGACGACCGGTCAGCTTTGAATCTTCGCACCAAGCTGGGCCACCGACTCTACGCCCCAACCCGCCTGTCAACGTCGCGCCTGGTTTCGTCATGTGTTCTCCGAAGTTGATGCAGGACTCCCCGGTCATGATTGTGATCAAACACCTAACCAGCAAAAAAGGTTTTGCTGTGATGAAAGAGTGCCAAGCAAACATGTTCAACATTTTTTATATGGCTCTTTTTTCCTTCTCAGTCTCAGGATCCAAGCTGGCTTTTGGGCGGCTATGGGCTTCCCCGTCGCTGGACTGCAGCACGAAATTTCTGTGTTGCTACCAACCCAATCTTCCGCCAGAACTCGCCGGTTAGGTTTTCGTTAGTGGCACGCTGTTCTGGGCAGCCTACGCCAACCCAGACACTCCATGGGACTGCCATATATGCATGCCTACATTCGCTAAATTGGGGTGGTTGACTGGGGGTCAATTGATCGGCATATATGGCAGTCCCATTAGTCGTCTTTGGGCCATGCTTTTCTGGGTTAAGGCGGTCGCCCTGAAAGGGCGGTCGGCACTTCGGTTCCGTCACGTTCGCCAGGTCTCGTTGTAACTCATCTTCGTCCTTGATCTCGGGATGGGAACTGCCCTCGCATCCTGGGAAACGGCCATTCTGGACGCAACAGAGAAAGCCGACGGACCGCGGCACTGGCCAACTCGGACCTGGGAACCGACCACGAACTACGAGTAACTTGGTTCACCTCCATGCACTGTTTTTGGGTGGATTCTGGCAAGCGGCAACCGGCGTTAACGCGGTGGATTCTGGCAGAGAGGATGCCTGAATTAGCTGCTAATTAAGCTGTTTGTGTTCTTTTGAAGCCATATGAAGCCATGCCATGCCGCTGATGAAGGCGGTTTCACCCGTAGAAACTCTCCATAGGTTGAAGATCAAAAAGAATCCTATTTGACTTTAAGCGCTTGAAGTAGGGAAGTCAGTTCCAGGTATAGTCTTCAGGTCATGATCCTAGCCTTTTTGGACAAGTGTCTAGCGTCATTCAACTACATGCATCGGACATTAAAACTGTAGGTCAAAATGATATATAATATGTAGAACACCCACTGCCGGCAGAAAACTAGCAACTAGACATGACACGGCCAGAGGCATTAAGAAACCGCTTAAACTCGGTGAAAGCTCTGCCGTTCGCTCCTGCCAAAGGGCAAAGCCATTCCTGGACCTGCAGGAGAAACAGCCCTCTTCCTGGACCTGCAGAGCCTCCAATTTCTTGGTTCGTTCCTGTGCGCGACTGAAGTGATGCTGAAAAAAGGAACGCCCAACCCAGTGGATCCCAGGCAAACCACTATTTTTCAGGAACCAGGGGCCCTTCGTTCGGTCGAAACCACTGGTTACCAGTGACATCGTGGGAACTGCCTGGATGCCCTGGGCAACACCTTGGGGTCCCAGCTTTTGGAGCTCGATCTGTCAGCGTTCGACCCCAAAAACCTGTGAGACCTGCGAGACCAGCGACTAGCTAGCTAAGCTCGCTAAGCGTTGGTGCGCAAATGCCGTCCGGGTCGAAGAAGAAGCATCTCCGGTTTCAACATGGCTTTCGCTTTGTTTTAACCGGCAGAGTTGGGGCTGGAAGTGGCTCTGGTCCTTCACAGAGGTTCTTCAGTCTACGCATTTTCATGCATTTTCTCAAATTCCGGTGTTGTGCCTATGCCTGTCCTGACTACCAGCAATGAAATGGCTTGGATGGCCGACACGTGGTGCCGACGCGGATGGCCGGCGAAGACCTAATTGCTTGACACTTCCATAAGCGGTGCAAAACCGCACAACGGTGTATCCATCCCGGACATCTTGGTCGCAAAAGGAATGGCTGGCAGGAGGTGTTTATAAATATATAAGTGTCGATCATTGGAGCTTGTACTACAGAAAAAGGGATGGGTCTGGAATGACTGGCACCAGATGCTGTTTCCACTATCCCGATCCCGGCCCTGAGCCACGTCTTACTCGGAATGTGTTGGCGCAATCTGCAAAGACATGGTAAGGTGCTTTCTTTGTAAGACATGTATCGCTTCGGCCGTAAAATTCCGATGCCTGCGGTGGCTTGGCAATTTATTGAATGGCTCCGAGAGTGCGGCTCTGGCAGTGCCTTGTGCAGAGCGCGTGCAACGCAGAGTTGTAGGGCACATGCGATGTGAGGCCAGGCGTTCCTGCTTTGAGCCGCGTCCTGCAGCTTGCCAAGGTCACGAACCGATCTTCGCGCCATGCGTGGTAACTTTGCTGAACATTAGATTTGGTCTTGTATTTGTGATGCTCACAGCTGCGTGTGATAGTGTTGCAGGATGGAAGTGGCAGGCTATCTACATTTGGAGTGGATACTGGATTATGTTATATTGGAGAGGTCGTCCACAAAATAGACATTAATTGAAGGCACCGGGTGCATGTAGACAATTGAAGACTGGGCCGGCAGCGGACCCGAAGAACTGCACGTTTCCGTAAACATTTCACGACATTAGAATACAGTAGATGCTTTCAATCTCCAGGGGTGAGAACGGCCCCCCCGCTTTGGAAGCATTCAAGCCAAGTCTTCTTGCCTTTGAGGTACAAGTGGGCCAATTTCACGTATCAGATCGGCGTTTTCATCTCCAGGCGTCCAACCTTCTGAGGACAACTGCCAATTGATCAGATTGTGGAAGAAACCGCGCCAAAATGCGCGCGGAAACAGTGAACCACTACCAAGTTATGTCGTTGCTTTGTCAATGTTGATTGGACATGCCAAAAAATTGGTGCCCTGGGCTCAGTCGCAACTCTGTGAGGTCCTCCTTCGTGCTGATTTGCAAGAGTCGGAAAATCTTGTGGTTGGGTGGCATTCTTCAGGCCAGCGCTGGTCCGCGGGGGAACAATAAAGAGTTTCTGTCCTGGCTGGGATCCATTATCAGGATCCCCAGAGTTCCCTGGAAGACGCTCCAACCGGCTCAAAGATTTGGAGGTTCATTATCTATGCAGGTGGCCAATCATTTTTGTTGGTAGTGGATGGGTTATACGGGGTTACAGGGGATTGTTCTTTCTGTCAACACGCACACATACACCGATCAACCGTTAGCAAAAAACACCAAGTGACATCAGTAGGTCTATAATCTAGCTAGTTGTTTGGCATTTGTCGTATTGTTGTTTCATTCTATAGCTAGTGATTTTATACTCTAGCCCAGTTGTGTGGTCATTCCTCGTCCACCCAACCGTCAGGTCATCATGGTGGGCTTCTTTGGTGCAGCCGCCACGCCACTCTGTTCGCTCGTTCAGACGGGAGACCGTGGGTCAGACCGTGGTTGGTTTCCTAAGGCCCCACGAGGTGGGGCAGATCTGGTGGGTAGCGTTTTCGAGGTGCAGGCAGAAACCTATGGTGCCTTGAAGTGATTGAAAAAAACCCATGTGATCATCTAACTCCAAAAGTATAGGGAGGTGCGGGAGGTGTGCCGGAGTAAGGAATCCACGTGGCACGGATTCTCAGAGCCGAAATGGACCGTCGCAGCAGCATGGCTTTCGTTTGCCAGACGGTCGCGTCGCATGGCTTTCCAAACGATCCAAGATCATCCTATCATTGCAATGTTGGTTGCGCCAACTTTGACGCGGGGATGTTTTGAAGCACCAACGACCAAGGTTGATGCAACAAAGATCTCCCATTCAAGGCCTGACAACCTCCAAAAACTGTGGATCCAATGCTCTTTCTGAACCCCCCCCTAACAGGACGTGCCTGACACGGTTCGGTTATATATCTTTCACCGGCCAGGACACCCTTTGGAGATTGGTGGCTTATCGCGCCGGCCTTGTTCGTGGGTTTCTTGGGTGGAGGTGTCTATGTGGGCGCTTTCACCTTGATCTCCCAGGAGCGTTCCACGGGTGTGGGCAGGGATGGCAGGGTGGCCAATGTTCCTTCTGTGCTGGCGGATGTCGTTTTGCTGTTTTTTCCAATAACGAGCAGGGGACAGATGGTGCTGAAAGCCATCACTGAAGTGAGGGTACAATACCAGCACGACCTGCACCGTGAAAGTAACGCTTACAAGGCTTTGGGGCACATCCACATTGACGTTTCCCAGCAATGACGCTTCTGTTTCAACTGATCAGTCCATGCGAGTGCATGTAGCTTTTGCTCGTTTTGACCCTGATGTTGTGGTTCTTTGTGAGACGGTATAGCTCTTAAAGGGTTCCATGTATGACATGTTTGTCCTACATTGCCGAGGTTGCATTGGCCAATGTATTCATGTTCATGTATTCCATACATGGAGCGTTGTGCACGGACCAATTCTCACTCCCACCTGACTGCTGGTACTTGATAGGGAGTGCATTTTTCGCAGCCCAGCACCGAGCTTCCACCCAAGGAGCAAGACCCAGCCTTCGTGGAGTTGGCACTCTCCAGTGCTTCAGTGGCCGATACCTTCGGCATCATCACAGTGCCTTGTCGACATGAGACCGTGAATAGCCAGGGGCTTCTTGGGGGGGGTGGAGGCGAGGGCAGAAGAAAGTTAGTGGTCTTTAAGTGGTTAACGGATGTTAACGGTATTTGATTAAGGAGCACTTCATAGGTCTTCGTTGAGGATTATGTAGAGGGGTTGAGGGAATCAGAGAAGACATAGATCAGGTTCCCTATCACTGGGTATCCGAGAACTGCTCCAGATCACCCAAGACATGATGCTACTGGAAGTCCACCACCGATCGACCACGATTCATACACTTGTTGAATCTTGTCGGTATGCTGGCTGAGTAATCCTTCATCCTCGAGAAAGTGTGCATTGCACCAGTTGAATTGCTTGATGTTTATGTATAACTTATATATATAATATAATATAATATAATATAATATATAGTATATATTATATTATATATATAATACACTATATATATATAATATATACTGATGTTCATTGGAGTGAGGCAAATATCTTGGGCTTGATCGTGCAGGGCTGCGTTTTTGGGCAGATGAAGGCTCGGTGGGTGCAGGACGATACCAGGGACCTGGCCTTTTTTGGGGGTGTCAAAGTCAAATGGAGATCCACAAGTACGTAGTGTAGGGTATGACCCCTCAGCCTCAGTGACCCCGCTGCAAGGTCCCCGTCCCCTAAGGTGCTATGATTCGCAAGGAAGAAACTCGATCCAGCGTTCTTTGCTGGAATGCCCGTTCATGGTCCATGAATGACCGTATTCGATATATAATGATATATATATATATTATACAGTACATGTACCAGCACCTATACCTTCAGGACTCCTCTGGTGGCTTTTGGTTCGACTTAATGGTGACCTGGTGACCTGTTGGTGACCGGGTCCTGGTATATGTAATGTTTCCTACAGGTCCAAAGACCCAGTGAAGCCTGGTCCACCTCATTGAGTGTTTGTAGATCAACTTCAGTAAAGTGAGGTCTTTGACCTGTAAGGACTATTTGCCAGTGCACCGATTTGTAGTGCATCCCTTCCAAGGCCCGGTCAAAATAGGCCGGCTTGAAAGAAGGTTTCGATCGCATGTTCGGAGGCCGTCTTCGTCACTCCAACGGTGGATACTCCAAGTGGGTTTGAATCGAGGACCGCTCCACGTGTATAGGGTGTGGCCTCTTTTCCTGTACACTCCCGAAAACTAACATAGACCCTGACTGTCTGGCCCCCCTGGAAGAGTGTTTGCCTCTACCAACCAGTGGTTTTCAGGGTCTATGTTAGTCTTCCAGGGTGTAGCATTTGGGACCTCGGAGAGGTTCCCTTCTCTACCTCCCAGAGACATGGCGGGACCCCGAAGCTCAATTCACAGCCTGGTGCTTGATGGATGTCCATCGAAGCAGGTTTGGCAGGTTTGTCACCTTTACATTTGCTGCACGGCGCCACAGTTACTAGTGCAACACAAATGATTCAACCCCAGTGACGCACAGGTAGGCCCCAACATGAGGTTGGTCGTCTTGCTGACCACACAGGTGGGCCCCAACTGCCTCTGTTCGGTGGGCCCATGCCAGCATGCCGTCGCGGACAGTGCCTTTACCGTCGTCCTCCAGGTCTTGGACACACGACCTGACTTCACCTGTGGCTATGAGATTTGGGCACACATGAACCGCACCTCGCTGAGAATGGCCGGAGCTCAGATCGGTGATCCGTGGTTGCGTGACGTGGACGTGGATGGTGTGGGTGTGGTGTTTATTTCGGGTGCAGGAAAGTGACGCCTTAGGCATCGGCAGAGTTTCTTGACTGGGAGGTCTAAATGGGAGACAAAGCCTGAAGCAAGAAATGGGTGCACCGTTTGTTGGTGCTGTTCTGGATTGATTGGTGTTTTTCAATCTTCTCTTCTAATTTGCTTCTTTCTCTTGTTTTCTTTTCACGCCCACGCATTCTTTTTGTGATGGGACATATCAATACAGAGTCCACGTCGACTTTTTTGCCGCGCCTGTCTTCGTCAGCAGCGGAAGTTCCCCCGAAATCCCATGGGTCCGAACACAACTGGCTCGGTTCGAACAAGTCGAAGGCAAACTTGTTGGGTGCTGATCGCGGTTGCTGTGCGAGCTGCAGGAACTGCGGCAGCTGCGCCCGTCTACAAAGCTCATTGCTTTCCGGGCGTGAAAGGATGAGGGCTGCAGATGGCCCGTCCACTCGATTGAATTGCCTGTGATTTGTTCCTTTAGTGAGTCATCCAGGAGCCTGTCAGTAGGTGGTCTTTAAGATCTTTAAGGAGTCTACTAGCCATGGTGAGAGGATGAGCGTGACCTTGCTGAGAGGATGAGGTCACGGACCAATGCTCAGAAGCAGTTTGTGCTGGACAAAATGGGAAACCAGTGTCCATCGATGGTGCCAGATTTTACCTCGTTTGATGTGTTTAGTTGATGACTGTTGAGCCACGAATCAACCTTTGAGAAGATGTGGGCATGCATGGGCATGGAACATCTCGTGCTCAAGTTCGCCACCAGAGATGATCATGAGATGGGGGGCTGTTCTCGGTTATGGGCGTGAAGAATGTGATTATACACAATCAGAACTTGTGTTTTCACCTCTAAAAGACTGTTTATATATGTCTCTCAAGACCATGAATGGTGAGGCAATATGTGGCTTTGCAGGGGCAGTGACCACAAAAACGTGCCGAACATCAAGGCTTGACAGTTGGGTGGTTTGAAGTCCGTAAACCCGTTTGAAACCTTTTGACGTGCCCTGAGTAACGCGCGAGTTTCACATGCTCCTGGATGATGAGAATGGCAGATTGACGTGTTAAGGTCTCCTGGATGGTTAGTTGGAGGACGACTTTTTTTGGACAGAAAATGATTGGAATATTAATGCTTTGATTGAGAGTGCAAAAAGGGGATGATGCTGCAAGAAATCCTGAAAGTCAGAGCGACATGTTTGTCTTCTTTGGTGGCACTGGTGTGCGTCAGTTGGTCGTTCTTCGTCGACCTCTGCAGAGCAATGAAGCGGCTAGGCCACACCAATATAAAAAAAAATCATATTTTGTAACAGGAACTTCTCAAGTTATCGTTCAAAAGTCCACTCTTTTTTCAAGGCTTCGGGCTTTCAATGATTCGCTGAGGGCTCAGCAGCGTTTTTCCTTTGTTGGGGGATTGCCAAGCAGTTGGAGTTGTCCTCTGAATGACCGGCGGCAAATGTCATCCAATCGCTCCGCGTCGCTAAGCGCCACGCTTCGTCGAACCCGGCGACCGCCGCTTCAAAGACGCAAGAGGCATCGCGGGAGGAGCGAAGCAAAAAGATAAAATGGAGTTCGCCCAGCGCATGTGCGACGTGCAGCTCGCTGCTGCATGCGCTTCCATTCTGCGACATGAAGATGTTGGATTTGAGGCTTGAAGGGATGATATGATGAGATACTATATATACCACTTGTAATTGGCACTCTTGCAATCCATTCAATTCTATGACATTGACTCCGAACCGCAGGAGGCAAAAGCTTCACGCCATGAAAAGACTCGGCAGCAGTGGAGAAGAGCTGGCCTGTTTTGAGACGAGCGACGACTTGCAACATCTCTCCTCGTCGAGATGAAAGCATCAGTTGTACCGAAAGCATCAGCACATGGGTACTACCACATGACAAATCAGTTGAAATCTGTCATGCCACACAGGAACTGTGTTCTAGATCATTGGAACGTTCATACCTACAGGTGCCAGGGTTAGAATCCCAACATAATCATGTGATTTCCTCAAGAGTTGGTGTCCTCGTGCCGCAGGCATAGTTTCTACCGTCCCTCCCTCCAACAAAGGTAGAACAGCCTCGTTTTGCAAGGCAACATGGTCTTGGTTCGAGAGCCATGACTGTTGGAGGGTATGTCCTAGTGTCCTACCCTCCCCGCCATTCATCACCCAAATTGATGCAGCTCAAGCTTGTGGGTGACCCAACCCCAAAACCATGTCCTTGGCATTTCGCCAACATGTTCTACTTCTTCCGCACCTGGTAGGTCCTGGTGTAGGTGTCCCACATCTTCTACTTCTGTATACTTCACTGCACCTGAAAGCTGTCGCTCCGTCCTCGCTTCGTCCTCCACCAACCCCTCGCGTCCGCCTCGTCGCTCTCCAGATCGAGCGATGGGTCGCCTGGGCGACCGCGGCGCCAACTGCGGATCACGCCTGGCGGGGGGGACCTGGGCGACGTCCGGCGGCTGCGGATCACGCTTTGGGAGAGCGAAAAAAGCGAAGCAAAGGGTGAAGAAGGGGGGATTTGAGGCAGATTCATCACCTGACAGCCTGTCAGTCACTATTTTCTGTTGAATTGGTGTTTGGATTCTTTGATTCGCTTGGATGGGGCAACCTGGGCAACCCCATGGTGTTTTTTCTCTTTGCTTGGAGCGGATCCCACAGGGTCTCTACATTCTCCTCCCCTGGATCAAATAGCTCTCCTTGGTACATCGCTGAACTGTGCATTTCACTTCCAAATTCTTTGCTACATTAACATACCCAGTGCATCCCAGGCAAACCAATATATATATATATATAAGGAACCAGGGATTCTAGGTCTACGGTGTTAGTCTTTGGAATACATGAACCAAAGAACTTGGCACGATCTCTCCAGGTAAAATGTTTGAAACGGTCGATTCCCCATCGAATCCCCATACCTTCAGGTGAAGGCAAGTCACAAACCCATGTCCCACTCACAGGCCGCGCAGGCGGATGCGTGCGTTGCCACCACCGTGCGACGCGACGCAGCAGAGCCGACAGCTCCGCGACCCTCGCCTCGTTCTTCATCGAGCCTTTAAGGCGGCCAAGTTCTGGTCGATGAAGATGCGCTTATTGCTCTTTGCATCCTTCATGGCTTGGAGGCCCCCGAGTCCGACGGTGTGGCAGATGTGGGACGGCCGATGCGGATGCAGAAAAAGCCCATGGTGCTGGACACGGTGAAGGGTGCTCCCACCTCGAAAATCCCGTGCAAATCCCAAGATGTCCTCCAACTTCATGATAAACCACCTGCCACAGATAGACACTTCATTTCAGATAGACACCCTGACACACCTGCCCAAAACCATGCCCCCCCCTGGTCACTTCTTCTTCCCCCCAAAACCCAGGCCACCGGGCCGTGGCCGGGACCGCCGTTCCCAGGTTCCGCCTGGCGCGGGAGAGCTCGGCACAGCTGCGCAAGGCCTTGGCCGAGACTGAGGCGGCCCACTTCGTCCGGGAGACCCGACGACGGCGGGGCGGGCAGACGGGCCGCTGGCGGCCGGATGGCTGGAGAGCTGCTACTGGAGAGAGAGAGAGAGAGGGGCTATCACCACCCAGGTGTTGTTTTTTTGGGGGTGCTAACATATAGAATATAGATTTAATCATATAGTTGTTGTTTTTTTTGAAAGGAGGTTTGAATATATTGTGTGAATGGGTTGGAATGGGTTGTGCAAAACGAAGAATCCATTCATGAAATACCAGTGAGCAATGCAGCTTGGCGCGAACTGAAAAGTCTGCCATGGTCTTGGATTCAAAACCTGAGGCGGCCTCGTCCACGTGCCAGAACATCCAACAATCTGCGCAGATCTTCGTCACCCAAAAAAACAGCCCAAACACACTCCATCCATGTTCGCCATGTGTTACTTACATGGACCCCTGGTTTTCACCACCCGAACTGATGTGGGGTTCCTTTGTCCCAAACAGCTCAGGCCTTCGCCTCCCGTGGGCTCATGCTGTTGGGCGCCCGGTCACCGGCACTGCGGCGGTTTTTCCACGGGCACTCAGTGGATTGATCTAGACCTAGACATGGCTAGAAAGGAATTCAGCTGGATGAAGAGTGCGGATGAAGAGGGATCCAATATAACATATAACTATGATCTGTGGATCTTCATGTTGATCTATCAAGACTCTGCAAAGACCAGAATACATGTTCCAAGAAGACAGCAGGAGCGATCGGTGGCCATAAGATTGAATCGTTCCAGATTGCAGATTCTGCTGTACCTACCTCAAGATCCATCTATCGTCGAGGACAGATAAATTCCTTCCAATTCTGCCCTAAAAACTGCTATAGGACTGGTACCGCTTCAATTGATGGGATGAATATTTTACCATATGATTCCCACAAGGAAAGCAATAGCACTAATATATAACATATATAACTAAAATCTTCTCTCTTTAGCGCTACAAAAAGGATTCTTCTTTGTTCTGTGCCAGGTCCAAGTTCTTCGGATCTTTTTGTGCCGAGGTCCGATGCCTTCCGACGGCCAGAGGACTCGGATGCCAGTCTAAAGACCAAAGGTCGAGGTCTGGATTGGGTGGGATTTGATGAAGGTGTGGATAGATGTCCGGATTTGGTGTCAACCCATCAGACTATAATTGGTCAGTCTTAAATCGGTTTGTAGTCCGACTTGTAAGTCCAGTTCCATATTTTCTTAGTTTCGCTGTTATTCGTTCAATGTTGATCCTAGAGCTCTCTAGAGACTTAGGCCAAAGCTTTGTTCCAAATCATCCCCTTCAAAACCGTTCCGTTTTGGGGTGGCGCCCAATGCGCGCTCACCCTCCACCGGTGCGGAGGGGACGTTCGCCCAGGTGGCGGCGCTGGGCGGCGGATCTGAGCTTCCAACGCTCGGTGAGTGCGCTATGTGCCTCGGTGGATGACGTCGGAGTGGTGCGCGAGATCACGAGATCGGGAGGAGATCAGATGGAGATGAGATGAGATCCAGGTGTTGTCATAGTTTCGGTTTTTGTCTCATGTTTTCAGTATGTGAGTTCTTTGTTTGGGGTTTCTAGATGTTCTAGGGCGATGGACTGATGAAGGCATGGTTTCTTGAGACTATAGATGGGAATTGTTGGGACCCGAAAACTGTATATAGTGACCTTTTGTCTTTTTGCTGAGGACGCATGTGATTACATAGAGCTTTCCGTGCCACTATTCCCAGCCCGTGTGTCTTTTTGATAGACCGATCCACATACATTGCCTTCACAGCTCGCAACATGACCGACACCCCACATACTTGGAGCTGGATCCCTGTGGTGGCACCGGTACGTAACATCTCTGCATTTCCTTCAACATCCTCCACCGGGCCCTGGTCAACGATTCATAGGCGATCAGCTGGAAGAGTAGCTGGAAGTTTTGAAAAAAATGACTGCCCGGTACCCTTTCTCTTGCAGAAACACTTCCAGTCGCGGTCGGGGGAAGAGCGCCTGACCCACTGAACTTCTGCAGACCACCTTGCCAGCCTCATGTTGTGACAAGTCCTAAAGGGCTTTCCAACCCTTTCCTAATTCATTTGTAGGGATCCAAGTACCTTCTGAAGAAGGTACTTGGACCCTCCAAACCTACATAACAGTGTCTCCGAAGGGCATCATCTCTCCCCCCCAAAAAAGGACCATGATCTGCATCATCCCTAGTGCCGTCCCTGCCGTCCCTGCCATGACTTCCTCCAACCAATGGCGGATCCGTCCCGTCGCTCTGCCCGAAACGCTCAGTGAGCCGGACGACGGGCCCTGGCCGCGTGCTGGCCGTGGTCTCCTCGATCGAGGCGCGAGGGATGGGTTGGGTGGTAGGGTTGAGCGCCTTCAAGCTGAGGTAGGACAGGTAGGACTTCACATGGGAAAGAAGAGACCTGGATCAAACGCTTTGTGATACTTTTCAATCACCCTTGAAGTCCCAAACGGTTTTGGGCGCTTTTGGGGGGCCGTTTTGGGGCTTTTCGATTGGGGAGATGTTTTGAGCTTCGCTTCACCGGCGACGGTTGGACAGTCATGCTCAGGAAGACATGTGGTTGCCGGGAAGAGCGGTGAAGGAGGGATTCTGTTGGGGTGGCCTTTCTACAGCAATAACACCCAAAATGTTGGGTCCACCATGTTGGACTGAATGAATGTAGCTTGCTTTTTCAGCGGGTGTACATGAATCAACATGAATCAAAGTGTTTTCCTTCAAAAGAGAGGGGGGGCCACGGGGGAAGGTCCCTTTTCAATTCGAGATGAATGGGTGCGTGACCCACCCGTAGGCTCAACTCGCGTGGTTCGTCTGAGGAGAAGCGGCGACGCTTGCTGTGCATGGAAGCCTTCTTGAGGTGACTGGGGACGAGCTTCGTGGAGAAGGGATTGGATGTGGCTTTCTGAATGACATCGCTGGGAGCATCATGCTGTAAGACGGCGAATCGAAGCGACGCGCAAAGATTAAAAGCCTTAAGGAAGAACTTCGTGGTGGGTCCTACCAGTAGAGAGACTCGGAAGGATCAAAGCCATGAGGTTCATTCGCCCATCGAAACCCTGAACTGAAACCTCCTGTCAGATGCGCCGCTTGTCCGGAGAAAAACCTCCTGTCCGGATGAACTTGAACTTGTTCGACTGACCCCGCACCTCCGGGGCCTCACTCTGTGAGCAGGTGGACCACGGTGCTTCGCTGGAAGAGCTCTTCCCCCAAGGCAGCTCAAACAGCCCAGGCGGCGGCGGTCTTCGACCGTTCGGTGGGGTACCTGAATTGTACGCCTAGACTGCCTACAGACTGCTTCAATGGCAAATGAAGTCATTGTGCTGCTAAGTTTTGCTATATAGACTGCTTCAATTGGTGGCTCGATCAAGTCTTCAAGTCATTGAAGTTGAGGCTGGCAAAGAAGATTCTATGAGATTGAATGCTAGGAATCCGGTAGCAGGGGGGAAGTATGGTGAAGAAAAGCGTCTCTTTAGTGGCGCAGTTATCGATAATGAATATCACGGAATATCTACAACTGCTAAGTATTCCTAAGTGATGTTGGATTTGGTTCGAAAGTGCTTTACAGGTGGACATCAAGCTATTTTCATGTGTCCTGACGGGTCCTGGCGGGTCCTGTGAGCGTGAACGCTTTGCGATGAATTGATCCTTCTGTAGTAGGACCATTGAAGGGAGGCCAGACAGGAGCCCACCAGTGTTCACAGGGTTATCTACACTCGGCACCGCGACTGCACTTATATAGATCTCGAAAGCGAGGGTCTCCCACGAAGTGCACAGCACATCGAGCAATTGATTGGTTCTGATATTGGTTAAAAATTATTGTCCATCTTCTTGAATTCCATTTCAAAAGTCCAACAAATATCCTATTGCCTGCAAGATGGCGCAAATCCCTTCACCACTCAATACTCTTTACCTGCTGATGCAAGATATCACTGACACAGAACATGGGTAGACACACGGGTAACTGGTCACTTCTTCACATGAGCAGACGCACCACGGTGGTGTTGGACATTGGGCTCAAGTCACGTCTCGACGTGCTGAGACGTGGGAGACGTGGTGTGACCGATACATGTCAGCAGGCACGCTTGCGATCCCAAGTCACAGGCGCTGTTTGATCCCTTTCACCCAAGTCACCCAAGCGTGAATCGAGAGTTTGCCAAAGAGTATGGGGACCACAGTTTACAAGAAAACATACGATCAGCTTGTAGAAAGGGTGAAAGCATTCCCCCAGACATATAGGACCCTCATGGCATGCATGTGGTAATTGTTTGTGACAGTTTGACAGCTTGCAGCTAGCAAAAGCTCAACACGCTCAAAGAGGAGTGGTGAAGATCACCATGTTTCATCTCACAGCCGGAGCTACAGGATGGCTGGCTAAGCCAGGATCCCTAACTCGAAACCAAACAGGTCTAACAGGCCTCCAAAACGGGGAGCTGCGTCTTCCTTCCAGAAACGAGCCATAGTGCAGATGGCATCTTCGCAAGATGTGCAACAAGTTCCCTGTCTCAGATTGGACAGGTCTTGTTGTCTGAGAGAATTCGAGAGAGGTGGACGAGTGATGTGATTCTGCGGTTGGAGTCTTGGAATTTGGAACCAAACTCAAAGAGAAGGTCCGCTGTTTTACTATGTTCATGATTTTATTCTCCTTATAAACTGGATCTTTCAAGTCATATATATCATATAACAGCATTTCTTCGGAGTGTCACCGGGGTCTTACACTGTACTAAGTAGGGTATTGTGGAAACACCATGTCTGGAACCAAGCACCAACAAGCACTCCAAGCATGTATAATGAGGTGACTGTAGGACCCGTATGCGTAGCACGAAGATATTAGGATGATTTAGGATATGTTTAATCCTTCAATGACGCAATGCTATTTCTCTTTAATGGAATCAGATGCAGGATAGGAGGAGACAGCAATTTCATCAACTTTCAGTTTCTTTGACCTCCTTGCTTGGGCCACTGAACAGAGGAGCCAGATGACTTTTTTGTTGAACATAGAGTTGCCACAGCAGAGAGGGCAGAGCTCGCCATTGCAGGCGGCCTTTCTGAATCCTGCACCCTTGGGCTTGCTTCGGATATGGCACTTTGCTGGCCCCTCCAGCCTCACTGGCTGCAGACAGTTTTGGGGTGTTTGGTCAAGAGTTTTCACACAAAATGAAAAGGCCCCATATCAAGCTCCAGGCCGTTTGTTTTGAACATGTAAGTTATTAAACTTCAATCTTGTTTATTGTAGACTGTCATGTTTCCAGTAGTTGATGCGGGCCAATCTATGAAAAAGAACCTATATCGATATGCTTTTATTGTTTTTTATTGTTTTTTTCTAGGGGATTCATGGGCTTTGCTGATCCAACCTCCGAATTCCGTTCATCATGTCCGGCGGTCCGTTCATCGGGTGCAAGACCTGCTCCGCCCGAGCGATTGGCAAAGCTCGAGCCGTCTACCGGGTGTCTTATGGTGTATTCACCGGGACATCCACCACTCAAACCGGGCGAACTCTTGGGACTGCATGGGAGCCATGGTTTCGCCTTGGTGTGGAAAGTCCATGCCTCCCTCCATCTGAAGGAAGGAGGTCAGGAGGCTCCTTCACTCCAGGTCACTCCAGGTCGGCTCCCAACGTCCGACCTCAGCCCGGCACGCTCTCGGCTTGAGAGAACGGGCATCCGATTCCAGCCGGTTCCGGCTGACCCAGTCGGACAGAGGGGTCAGTGCACGTGGCACAGTGCCAGAGGGGTCAGTGCCAGTGAGTTGGACAGCTAGTTTTGTTGAAAGCTAATGCCATTGGCCTGAGTCGTGAGTCGTGATGTGGCCATGCATGGTAGAACTCTTTGTTTTGGGACATCTTCGGGTTTTGAATTCTTGGGGAAAGAAACTACAAACCGTCACCACTCTTTGTAGCCTTTGTCCAAGGAGAAAGCTATGAGTGGTTTGATTATGGATCAGCTATGATCAGCTATGATCAGCTTTGTCATCACTGGTCACTAAAGGCCCATGTTCTGGTTCGGGTCACCAAGGGTCACCAAGCTGCCACTTCTCCCTCCCCCCCGAAAACAAAGCATGGGGAGAGACCTCACCAGAAAACACCGGAGAGTCCCTTCCCTCCTCTTTCCTCCGCCGAAAAACGCTCCTGTCTCCAGAACACCGAGGGACAACCTCACCCGCGCTACCCGCGCTCGCCGAGGCTGTTGCAAAGCACGGCTGTTGACATCGGCCTCGGAGCTGCCGAAGCCGGATGCTGCCTGGTGGCCGGACCTGGCGAGAGGCGGGTGTCGTGTCGTGTGGTGTGGGGTGGTGTCGCATTGCTGAGACTTAGTTTGATGTGGTTGGGTTGGTGGAGAGAGTCTTTGAGGGAAATCCCTCGAAATGCAAAGTAACCCATCAAAAAACATCCTTGCCCATGTTCGGTGAGCTGTGATGAGGAGTCAAGGGTCATGACACAGCAAGAAAAGAACATGGTTTGACACAAAGACTTCATCTCCGGAGAGGCTCCAAAGATGTTACAAGGATGCAGTTTATGAGATCAACGTATGCTATGAGAGCATCGAAGTGCATCAGGAAGGAATTGCATGAGCATGAGAAGCAAATGAGGAATGATGAAGGGATGAAGGGAAGGTGAACCCAAAATTATTTGATGCTGATGAGCTTGATGAAGCAGAGAGTCTTGGGGAAGGGAAGGTCAGTCCATCAGATTTCTAGGATGGGGACGAGCTTGATGAAGCCGGCAGGAGGAAGACAAGGTAAATGTATGAGTTTGTTGGTTGGGATGAGCTTGGATGAAGCCGAGGACACTCGAAAGAAGCTTAAGAACATGAAGAAAAGGACCTATATGACCTATATCAGGTTGACGGTTCAGGAAGAATGGAAGGATGAGGTGAATTCAGGTGAGGGAATGAATGATACGTTCTTTACGAAAGCCAGCCTTCGTAGAAGGCGCCAGCGGAGTTGTGTTTGGCGAACGAAGTGAGTAGTTAGGGGGTCTAGGGGGGGTGGCCCGCAAAAGGTACACGTAAACTCGGCACATGCTGGGGGAGGAGGGTGCGTCGAGGGAAGGTTTTTTGAGGTTGTGTTGGAGGTGATTTTTGAGGGGTGGTGATGCAAGAAATGCAATTTGCATCATTTGCATCATCTGAATGGAAAGGTGTAGTTGGCACCTTGCCAGGTATAGAGACCCAGGGTAGCTATAGTGCAGCTACCAGGTATAGTACTTCAAGTTCCCTTTCCGTCAACCGCTCCATAACCTCTACACACGCACAGCAATCACAGCTTTGAAGCCTCATGCGTGTAGCTACTGTGGGTCCGTATGAATGCTATGTTGCTATACCTCTTACACACCTATACCAGTTCAAAGCACGAATGAGACTTCATAGCTGGGGTTTGCTGTGCATGTGTGGCCCGAGAAAGATATACGTAAACTCTGGAAGGTGATGCTTTGATGCTTTTGGAGCGGGTGGTGACGCACTCGCCAAC